CAAAACATTTTCTTCTCTAAAATTGTCTCCTTTCACCTGTTTTCCTGCTTTCTAGCAATGTTCTGTTGTCTGCTTTCATTTCCACTTTCTGCCCCCACCCCCTCATTCCTTTGCCCCCTCGTCTGGGCTCCTGACTCTTTCTGCAGCCTTTCTACTGCTGCTCCTTGGCTCCTCCTTACTGCTGTCTTTCTGCCACACCCCTGATTTTCTGGTAGGAAAGATCTACACCCAGCCTTCTCGGACAATGGCGAAAATTCTCAGAGGGCTCGTGTGCAAGTTGCGCACGTTTAAGATCCCTTGATCCTAAAATCGATAAGAGTAGGCTTCGTCCGCCACCCTTGCAAAATTCAAAATTTCCTACCAACTGAAAATATTACGTGTGTCCCGCGCGCTCATATGACCTTATGCAGTTGCGAGCGCCGTAAAACACTTTACAAAACAAAACAATTGTTATTATTGTTAATTCGTTTTACGCCAGGCCTTATTGTCATAAACCTTTTCCTGTGCCGTTTCCATCAGGTACATGTGCATCTGTCACCCTTTCCACCACTGGATGAACATCCAACGGGCTCGCATCATCATCGGCGTCCTTGCTGTCATCATCTTCATCTTCGGCGGCATTGTGTGCATGCACTACAGCATCTACAAGACAGTGTCTCACCACATCAACGCCACCGTCCCGCCCGACACCACAGGCTTCCCTTACGACATAGCCAATAGCACGGCCGCTGGCTTCGTAGTGGGCGGAGTCACACAGGAGGAGGGCGGGGCTTTCACCGCCTACCCTTACGGCCACTCCCCCGGCCCGTCCTACTCGCAGGAGCCTGGAGCTTTCATGGCGGTGAACGAGACGGTGCTGGACGTGCTTGTGACAGGCGCGGGGGCGGGGCCTGAGAACGCCACCAGTAGCAGCGGACAGTCGGGAGTAGGAGCAGCAGCAGGGGGCGGAGTTATCGTGAAGGTGGGGGAGATCATCGACGCGTGCGACATCAATGAAGACGTGATCGATGCCAGTTTCTTCAAGGTGTTCCAGAAGCTCTACACGGGCATTTTCATGCTGAGCTGCATCATTGTCCTCGTACTTTACAGTCTTATCTACAGGTGAGTGACCTTTACTTTTACTTTTTCATTCTCTGTTGCCGTTAATCGTCGAGGGGAGATGCAGTTTTCTATGGTAGGCCAACTCTTTCAATTTGGATATTAAAGGTTCTCGGAGTTCCCTAGACTCCTTCAGTTCATCTTCTGCGTGGCCTGCCTCTTTCTATATTACAAGAGCCTAAACTATTTTGTGGAAATCCAAATCTTTGCTAGGAAGTATGACATTATGATTACCCAACTGTTCAGATGTTTAATGTTCAGACTTTTGATTTTTTTGTACAATAACTGGTTCTTATTATGTGGTATTGCTTACATTTTACACAGAAGTATTTGGTCAAAATTCGAATTCTAAATGTTGAAAAATGCAAGGAAAAATCTTTAACAATTAATTGTTGGTATAGTTTTAAAGAATGAAAGAGCGCTTTCTGTCTACTGAAAGATGCTGCTTTCTGGACTTAGAACAGTTGAACAGCTTGCTGATGCTCTAGTATGTTATCGTGAAGGCAAGGCTGCTAGAGCCCTAAGTTACAACAATCAGAAATCATACTGGGAAGAAATTATTATATTCCATTCCGGCATTATATGATGTGCTTTAGGGCCCACTGTAACGTTACATTAGTTGTTGAGCCTCCGAATATTGGGACGTTACCATCGACACAATTTAGATCACTTAGACGGCGGACTTCCGACCCAGTCTGTCAGAGCCAACCTGTGCTGAGAGACATACAACATCCCAACTGTAAAAACTAAAACATAAGATTCTTGAAACAAGGATTTTTTCTACTCGGGAACTGAACGTGGGTTTCTTGTGTACGGCAGCGAAGTGCTCAACGCTACACTGCGGACTCCGGTTAGTTTAATCTACCAGGGTCGAAGTGCCCCCCCCCCCCCCCCCCGCCCGCTAAATGATTTAAATAGTGTCAATGGAGGCATAGAAAGAAATACCTATCAATCCACCAAGGTCAAGGGGGGGGAGGTTAAAAAAATATGAGAGTGTGGAGAGCAGGGCATTGCTTTTCTAACACAAACATCTTCTCAACGAGATCAGCTCAATTATGATTATGTAATGGGTCCCCCGGGGGGGGGGATGCTTGTGGTAATTGGGATGTCATGACCAAACATTATGACTTAGGCCTTTTCTTTCGTTCTCCTCAGTGTATCTGTTTCTCTTTCTGTCCCACGTAACCAGCCTGTGTTTTTTCTCTTCCTGTCGGCAGGTCTGTGATCGCTCAGCGCCGTAAGAAGCTGCGCATCAAGTCTGCGCAGTGCTGTCTGCTGTGGAACGCCACCAGTGTGGATTCGCCCCACGAGGCGGCGGAAATGACGCAAGACATAGAGTTGAGTCACGTGAACGGAGACGAGAGGTTCACCAAGCGGCATAACTCGAACGCGGCGGAGGAACCCACTGAGTCCCACAACGGGGCCCTCCGGAAGTGCTCGCTCTCCAAGGCCAGGATAGAGCGCATGCGCGTGGCCAACATTAAAACGGCCTTCACTTTGTTCATCGTGACCTTGGTCTTCATCTTCGCCTTCTTGCCAGCCTGGCTGATGGCGTTGTCTGTCCTCCAGATGAATGTAGTGGTCTTCTATATGTACTTCATCTACAACGTGGTCAACCCTTTCATCTACGCTTTCCTCAACCAGAACTTCAAGACAGAGCTGAGTCGGATCCTGCACTGCGGAAAGCAGTGACTGCCTGCCCCGCCCTCAGAGCTCACCAGCCTGGGGCGGCAGACCAGCAGGGTAGACTCCGCGACAGATTTCGCGCCGCTGCGCCAGATGAGCAGACGAGATTCCTCTCCTTTGTATCAGATGGACGAGGAAGATTCTCCTCAGGGTTTGGTCACAACTCCTCGGGAGTACGGGAGAGATCCCACTCAAGACCCAGAGGAAGATCCTGCGCAAGATTCTGAACCTTTGCTTCAGGCGTGTTGGAGAGATCCCGAGGTTATCCTTGAGCAAGATCCTGTACAAACCCTTGAGCAAGATCCTGAACAAATCATTGGACAAGATTCCGAGCCACTGCTTCAAGCGTGTGGGAGAGATCACAATCAAACCCTGGAGCGAAATCCCGAACAAAATCCTGAGCAAGGTTCTGAGCATTTGCTTCAGTCAAGGGAAAAAGATCCAACTCCAAATTTGACGTCACGACATAAGACTTGTGAGAGATATTCCATGCCAGATGTAGCCATACCTGATCAGGCATGTGGTAGAGATCCCGAGCACGAACCTTTGAGATTATACCGGTCAAACGAGAGGGGTTCGATTTCAGATCATCTTCCAGTAAATTGTCAAACGAGCAGGAGTGATTCTTGTCCAGATTTTGTGCCCGTTTACATTTCTGTGGAGCATGACGGGGAAAAATGACCGGAGCTTCATCAGAGCATATCGGTCAAACTGTCTTAGAACATGCTGCAACGTACTTCCAAATTCTAAAGGATTCATTTACATTTGGTTTCAACTGACAAAGATCCGTGTACACACCAAGTCTGCTCTTTTTAATTATCATGTCGATGTTCAAAAATCGCGGTTGTTCTATTTAGTCAGTGGAATGAGACGGTTCTGGCCTTTTCTTCTATTTATCAGTGTGATTCATGGACTAGCGCACAAATCAATAAAGGTTCACTTACCACAGTTCGGGGAGACGCGGACTCACATGGGCCATCTGACCTAGATGTACAAACGTACGACTTTCTTCACACTTCAAATCTTTTTTATTAGAGAGGGGCGTACGGAGGTGAAGAGAAAGATTCAACTGAGTGTGGTACTTCCCGACAGATCTCTTTCCAGATTCTGACTGGAATTATAAGCAGATACACTTTTGAGGTGGATCCTGAGGAGAACGGGGGAAGCAGCTATGGGCGCATACTGTCTGCAATGATCCTTACCCTGTAGACAAATAAACAAATATCTTTACACGTCATCTTTTCACGATTAAATTACATTCAAAGAACTTCGTAAAGCCTAAAGGGATTGCACCAGCTAGTTACCCGTTGATACAGTTATCGCTCTTCTGACAGGCCAGGGATACGCATGGCTTCGTAAGAAAAACAAAACGAGGAAGACCAACTGGAAGCTATAGAGGCACAATAAGGGATGAGGTAATCACCCAGGGCCTGGATTTGCCGAAATTGAAGGACATGGTCAGGGACAGGCAAACGTGGCGTCGACTACCCTCCGCCTTATGTACCTGACGGTATAGGGAGAGTGAGTGAGTCAGTAAAGCAATCTCTGGGTGGTACACTAATATCATAATTCACCCAAACACCATTCCGGAAAAAACAACACCCTGGCCCTGTGGAGCTGAGCACACATGAGCCTCTAACCATTAAATAAAATATGGTCGACTTGGCTCGATATAACAAAAACAGCTCGGTTTGTGTGCCGAAAGGATTGAAACTTTTCCCGTAAAGAAGCAGACCTGGAAATGAAGCAGCTACAGATATGCTCTGGCTTCAGATTGGTCAACTTGTCTAAGACTGACCGTCTGGTGTTGCTCGTCCATTGACCTAAATCATATGAAACTGACACCAAGTTATCATATTATTTGTGTGACAAAAAAACCCGTTACCCAAGAGTGCAAAACCATGTCAGTTTGTGTCCGAGTAAACAAAAGGAGACGGTACACATATGTTATTTCATGTATATTTACCAGGCAAGCTGTGACTCAACACATGAAACAACCGTGTCTTTTCATCTCTGAGATATGTATCAGGACCAGGATAGTTATGTTCGTATTGCTTGCTCTTTGATTGTTTAACACTAACAGTACATTGATGAGACAGGTTTGCAGCTGTTCAATTGCACGTAATGAGGAGTAATGAGAATACGTTCCAATAATTGTGTCACAACGCGATGGAATCAGGCGCTCGTCAATTTTTGGGTATAGTTAAAGTTATTGGTGTCATCTTAAAGCTTGTTCATTTGCCTTGTCTTCGATTAAATTAAAATCCATCTATTTTGAAAATAATTCAAGATGTTTGCGCCTGATGGAAGTGGGGATCTTAGAGAGAAAGTGGCCGCCAAAATGTTGTGACTTTTATAGCTTGAGAGTCTATGACAACTGAAAATTTACATTTTCTCTGTCTTTGAACACTGTTTTCATGAAAAATCCACATAGAAATGTCTTTTTAAATGGGCACAAAAGAGCCAAACGACCCCCCCCCCCCCACCCCACTCAAAAAAAATATAAATCGATAGAATGCCAGTGTCTTCCATTTCACTATTTTGACGAGCGCCTGATTTCGCCCCGATGCCTCCTAATTTGAAGGAACTGTTTCTCAATTAAACACTTTTAACAAAGGCATAACGTTTCTTGAGATCTTCTTCGCTGACTAAGAAAAAGAAAATCTTAATAATGGATTTGGTTTTGTTTCAGTAATTAGTGTTTTTTACGGCACTTGCATCACAAATAGATCACACAAGTGCCGAAACTAAGAGGTGTTACAAGAGAGTAACAAACAAAAACAAAAAAAAAAGAAGGAGGAACAATGATGACAATATTGTGCTTGATAGGTAGGGAAAAAAGAGCAAACCGCACGTGAGAGCCCAACATACACCCACTTATTCGTGTACATTTTCTGAGTAGAGTATCATTAACATTAAGTGTAGAATGCACGCACATAATATTAATATTACTATTTTTTATTACATGAAAGCGTCAGACTCTTGTGTGATTACACAAGGCTAAATGTTGTCGTTTTAAGGCAAACTGATTTATTGTTCTTTGGTATTGATTTAAACTATTACATCTTTGGGGTGTCCTCACCTAACATCGGCGCCCATGCACTGCTGAAACTGAAAATGTCCCAAGAGTGTGAACGTTTCTAGATGAAATTTTCAGCACCTAAAACTTTCCGTCAGAGAAAGACTAGTTGTTCAAATTTAGTTAGTATTCAATATCTAATAGAGTCTATTATTATTATTATTATTATTATTATTAATAATATTATTATTATTATTATTATTATTATTATTATTATTATTATTATTATTATTATTATTATTATTATTATTATTATTATTATTATTATTATTGTTATTTTTATTATTATTAATAGAATAGCTGGCGGCATCGTTCAGTTACATGGATATCAGACTGAGTCTATTAGAGAAAACACGAAAAATACAGTTTGCGGCTACAGGTTCTTCGTTATAGATCTGTTATATGTGCGGGACTCAAGGCGTGTACGGCATTGTTCATCCAATAGAAACTGCAAGAACGGGGATTGAATATCACTGAGGTCTTACCTTGTGTGTTTGTTTTGGGGTTGTGTGGAGATGTCGATGGACATTTTATCATATCTTGTCAGAAGGCAGACTTTACAATGGCCCATTTAAAGCGTTCTGTTTGGTTCAAGAGAAACTTCTTTAGTCAAAGATAAATAAATAAAATATAGATAGAGAAAGAGGGAGAAAGAGGGAGAGAGAGGGGAAGACGGAGTAAGAAAAAGGGGAGAGAGAGTGTGTGTGTGTGTGAGAGTGTGTGTGTGTGTGTGTGAGAGAGAGAGAGAGAGAGAGAGAGAGAGAGAGAGAGAGAGAGAGAGAGAGACAGAGAGAGACAGAGACAGAGAGAGACAGAGAAACAGAGAGAGACAGAAAGACAGGGATACAGAGACAGAGAGAGCTGCCTGTGTTAAGTTTAAGTTTGATAACTCTGGCGACTTTGCATCATAGGTCTCGAACCTGTTCGTGTCCACCACCCATATTTTGACACACATAATAAGACGACAGTAAATGTGGTCAGAAATACATCAGTGAGCTCTTCAAGAGGTAAGTGGGAGCTGCAATATCTAAATGCCATCATGAACAATGTGACCTCTTCATAATAGAAAAGCAAATGACCGGCTCCGCAAGGATCGTGGTATTATCGTTAGGCACAACTACAACTCCCAAGAGCCAGCCGGCGTGTCGAAAGCAACGTAGAAGCGTGGAAAATCCTCAATCTTGAATAATGCCAAAACTTGAGTTGAGTAATTTTCAACCCCCATGTCATATTCTGTGCTTACTATTCGCTACCCCAGATTTACAAAGTATGCCTGCTCAATACCTAGTTTTGAGTAATTGGACGTTGAAAATTTTGAGTTTCACAACATGTCAAGCTTTTTCGAATGCAGTTCTGTGAATATCTTGATAACGACTCTGAATAATCTTTCGGTTTTGACATAGCAGATAGAACTTGGTTTCTGACCTCATAGGCTCAGTAACTCAAAACGGCCAGAAATGTCAAAAATGACTTTGTATTTCTAAGGTAGCGTATTGTGACGGCTTACAAAATGGCTGAACAATGGAAGTAATGTCGGCCTGTTTGTCTTTGCGTCTTTGTATATTGTGTGCGTGTATGTCCCAGAAACAATCGAAAACCAAGGATCTTTGTACATGTGACAGCCCAAAAGACTGACTGTTATTGTAAATTTTAGAATCTAATGTGTAACCTTCGGGCACTAGTGAGACTCGACACCTATCGGTGTCTGCCTGTGCGTAAGCGTAAAAAGTATAAGATGTTTTACTGTACCAATGTATAATGTGTGTATGTGGGGCGGGGCGGGGGAGTATATGTGTGTTTGTGTGCGTGTGTGTGTGTGTGTGTGTGTGTGTGTGTGTGTGC